ATTTCTTTCCAAAAGTCTTACATAGTTATTATTAGAATTATTCATAGGTTACTTCATATATACACACATATAAGTTTTAATTATACTTTACACATTTTATGCCATTGTAAATGGTGTATTTTTATTGTTACATGTTTTTAGCTACTTGTTGTAGATTTAAGGATATTTTGCATAAGACTGAATTTATTGGCTTGTTGGATGTTTGATAAAATTTTACTGGTAAAACTGTATGTTCCTGGTGTTTTCTTTGTAGGAAGGTTTTTCAACTACTGATTACATTTCTTTAAGATTATAGGACCATACAGGTTTTCTGTTTCTCCTTGGTTTCTTTTAAGTAAGTTATGCTTTTATATGAATTGCCATTTTATTGTTTTCAAATGTATTGGTATATAATATTTCATTATTCACTTGTTAGCTTTTTAAAAATCTCTGTAGTATCTGTTAATGTCCCCTCCTAAGATTTTTAGTCCTACTTTTATTTGTTTGTTCTCTATCTCTTGATCACTTTTACCAGCAGTTTGTCAATTTCAGTGGTCTTTTGAAAGAACTTTATTTTATTGAGCTTCCTATGGAATATTTGTTTTTCCCATTAATTTCTGTTTCATTCCATTAATTTCTGTTCTTTTTTTTATTTCACTTTTTCTACCATTTATTTTTTCTATTCATTTCCTTACTTTTGGTTATTTAAGTTTAACTCATTAAATTTCCCTCATTCTTTATTACTATTGTAAGTATTTTGGCTATTAATTTCCTTTTATGTTCCACTTTGATTGAATTCCACATATTTTGACATGCAGTATTTATCATTCCATTGTAATACTCTCTAATTTTCATAATGATTCTTTCTTTGACCTGCAAATTATTTAGAACTGTATTTCTTAATTTCCATCTATTTGAATATTTTTCTAGTCATCTTTTTGTTATTGATTACCTTAATTGCCTTTCAGTCATACAATGTCAATGCAAAACATTAATCTGTTTTCTGAAATTTGTTGAGATTTGTCTCATAGCACAGTAAACCTTAAATTCTTATAAATGTTCCTTCCAGGCATGCTTGAAAGTAATGTATAGACTGCCATTGATATGTTGTTTCATAAATATCTATTCAATCAAGTTTGTTAATTGTGTTGATCAAATCAGTGATATCATTACCACTTTTTTTTTGTCTGCTTAATGTATTAGTTTCTAAAAGAGGTGTGTTAAATTTTCCGACTATGATTATGTATTTGCATATTTTTCTTTATGGTTCTTTTTTTTTTTTAGAAACATTAAGCAACCTTTTAAAAAATTTTTTTTAATGTTTATTTTTTTGAGAGAGAGAGACAGAGTGGTAGCAGGGGAGGGGCTGAGAGAGAGGTAGCGAGATACAGAATCCGAAGCAGGCTCCCGGCTGTGAGCTGTCAGCACAGAGCCCGATGCAGGGCTCGAACCCAAGAACCATGAGATCCATGGCCTGAGCTGAAGTTGGACGTTTAACCGACTGAGCCACCCAGGTGCCCTTATTGTTCTTTCACTTTTTGTTTCATATATATTAAAAGCTATACTCCTAGATGCATATACATTTAGAATTGCTATACCTTCCTGGTGAACTGAACCATGTATCATTGTAAAGTAGCTTTTTTATCTTTATTAATGCTTTTTGCCTTAAAGTCTGTTTTGCCTGATATTAATATACTTTCTTTTATTTATTTATTTTTATAATTTTTTTAATTTTTAAATTTTATTTTTATTTTTTTTAAGTTTATTCATTTATTTTGAGAGAGAGAGAAAGCATAGGTAGGGAAGGGGCAGAGAGAGAGGGAGAGAGAGAGAGAAAACCCCAAGCAGGCTCTGCACTGTCAAGTGCAAGCCCAGTGTGGGGCTTGAATTCACAAACAGTGAGATCATGACCTGAGCCCAAGTCAAACGCTTAACCAACTGAGCCACCCAAGGGCCCCAGTTTTTTAATTTTAAAGAGAGCACGCTAGTAGGGGAGAGAGGCAGAGGAAAGAAGAGAGAGAGAAGCTTAAGCAGGCTCTATGTTCAGTGCAGAACCTAATGCTGGGCTAGATCCTGTGACTTTGGGATTATGACCTAAGCCAACATCAAGAGTCAGAAACTCAACCAACTGAGCCATCCAGGTGCCCCAATATACTAACTTTCTTTTAGTTAGTATTTTTCTAATATATCTTTTTCTTATTATCTTTAAACTTTCCTTATTCTTATGCTTTAAGTAAATCCATGTGACTATTTTTAAAATCAACTCTACCTTTATCTTTTAACTATAGCATTTAGTTCATTTATATTTATTGGAAATACTGATATATTTAAATTTATTTCTGTCATCATGTTTTGTATTTTAAATTTATCCTGAATTTTCCTTGTTTTTTTTTCCCCCTTTTCTTTTCTTGCCTTCCTTTGGATTGTTTTGTTTCTTTTCATGTTTTACCTTCTACCAGTTTGAAACTTACATGTTTTATTTTTAAAAGATTATCTTAGAAGTTTTTATCACAGTCTAAAGTTAAAATCTCCCTACCTCCTGTCAATTCCAAGATCTAAAAACACTTTGACATCAATCACTCTCCTCCTCATATATATGTTGTTTGTATTTGTATGTGTTTTTTTTCTATTTTTTAATCTCATAAGACATTGTTATTGTTGTAGCTTTATACAATCAGTATTTATATTTAGCCAACATTTCACCACTATTTTTGTTTATTATTTTCCCTTCAGTCTCAGGCCCTTCATCTGTGATCACTTTCCTTCTATGTAAAGTATGTACTTTAGGGATTTATTTAGTAAGAATCTGTTGATGTTTATTTTTAAATATTTTTATTTTTCAAGGTTTCCCCCCAGTATATTGAAGATATCCTTTCACTGTCTTCTAGTTTCCATTGTTGCTTTTAGGTAGGTAGCTATAAATCCACTGTTGTTTCTTTGAAGGTGCTGTGTTTTCTCTCCAGTGACTTTAAAGATCTTCTCTGTGCCCTTGGTATTCCCTAGTTTTGCTATGATATTTCTAAATATGGATTTTTATTTATTTATTTAATCTGCTTGAATATTATGGGTATTTTAATTACTGTCTTTCTCCTGTTCTTAAAGTTCTTAGTCATTATCTGTCCAAACATTTCTTTTGCTTCTCCCTCTTCTTCCCATCAAGGATTCTTATTAGGCATATGTTAGAGCTTTTCCATCAATTTTCCCTGTTTCTGAACCTCTCTTTTGTATTTTCTCTCTCTGTCTTTTTTGTTGTTGTTGCAGTTTAGATATGTTCTGATTTATCAACAGTTTAAAAATTCTATCTTCAGCCAGAACTAATATTTGACTGAATCTATTTAATTCATAGATTTAAAAATTTTTAACTATTATTTTTTCATTTATAGAAATTCTATTTGATTCTTTTTCAATCTGCCTATACCTTTGTATAGTTTCCTGTTCTTAACTCATATACTCAATATACGCTTTCACAATTTAAGCATGTATATTTTGTAGTCTGTATCTGATAATTCCATTAACTAAATTCTTTGTGGGTCTGATTTTACTATCTGTTGTTTCTTCTTTCATCCATTGTTTCCTTTTACCTCATGCATTTTGTGAGTTGGCCAGGGACTCATATTTCTTGGTATTTTATAGGTGGAAATTCTTTGAAGCCTAGTTTGAAGTCAGATTCCTTTAGAGAAGATTATGTTTCATTCCACCAGTTGCCTGAGAAAACCACCAACCTAGGACCTTTCTTTTTTTTTTTTTAGAAGTTCACATTATGTAAAACTACGCTGTTTAAGCTATTTTTTTTTTTTTTTTGAGAGAGATTAAAGAAATTTCTGGTGATCGTCGAGAGGCAGAGAGAAAGAGAGAAAGAATCCCATGAGGGTCAGAGAGAGAGAGAGAGAGAGAGAGAAGCAGAGCTCATGTTCACCTGAAGCAAGGCTCTTGCTCATATGATACGGGGCTCACTCACCCATTGTCAGACTCGAACTCATGAACCCTGATAATCCTTGACCTGGTCAGTTAAACAATACTCGCACCAGCGCATGCTGTGCTTATTTTAAAAACAAACACAAGAGGTTTAGAGTATTTTATCTCTCATGATGTTGAAAAATATCATATAAAAAGCTAAGGAATGAATGAAAAAAATGATTAGGTATTTGACATGTTTTCAATAAACACATATGATCTTGAAAAACATAATTATAAAAAGCTAAAGAATGAATAAAAAAACGATTTGGTATTGGACGTGTTTCCAATAAACACATGTGATCTTGAAAAACATCGTATAAAAGCTAAAGAATGAATAAAAAAACGATTTGGTATTTGACATGTTTCCAATAAACAGTTAATTAAAAAATTTACATGAGCTCTGCATGTTGCCTGGGTCGGGATGTCATTATGTTATAAGTGGACTTTACAAGGTATGTTCTCCTGAAGCTTTAGGATCATTTTTAAATAACTTGTTTTAAAGTAATTATTAGCCAGAAGTTTTGTAGATCTGTGGAAATTCTCAAGAGAAAAAAATCTGGTCTCCCTCAAGAGGCAGCATGTTTTGCCACAGGCAAATTTGCTGAGAGGTGGCAGGAGAGGATGAGGATTCACTTTTAGCTTGCCCTTACACTAAAGGATCAACCTTTACTGGGACATCAGTTTTATGCAAGGGAACAGTGTCTTCTTATACATTCCAAATTGGATAGGCCTTCGGCTTTATTTCCTATCTTCCCACACTCCAAGATCGTGAAAACCAAAGTTTCAGCTTACAGTGTTTGCAAATACACTCAAGGCAAAAGCTAACTTCTGTACTGGCTAACCTTCTGGGTTCCAGCTTTTTCTTGGTTTGTTTTCTGAGTAGTCCTTCCTTTCTTATAATTTTTTTTTTAATGTTTATTTATTTTTGAGACAGAGACGCAGCATGAGCAGGGAAGGGGCAGAGAGAGAGGGAGACACAGAATGTGAAGCAGGCTCCAGGCTCTGAGCTGTCAGCACAGAGCCCGACGCGGGGCTCGAACTCACGAACTGTGAGATCATGACCTGAGCCGAAGTCAGACGCTTAACCGACTGAGCCACCCAGGTGCCCCCTTTTCTTATCATTTTTATTGATACATTGTAGATGTGATAAAGGGCGTTTGCAGCATTTTTACTTGTTTTCAGTGGGAATGTTGTTCAGAATGTATAGTCTTCCATACCACTAGAATAGAAGTCTACCCTTTTGGGTTTTGGTGACTTAGAAGTTGCCTTCTCCTTCTCTTTTTATTCAGTTTTAAAATGCTAACAATGGCTGTTACCCAAAAATATCTATCCAAGCCCCACAGTTGTCTTACTCTCCAATCAGTTCTCTTTCTACTTTTGTGTCCCCACTTGCACGGACCAGTACCAGAGGCACTATGGACAGAATTTGTGTGTGGGGTTGCTCAGGGGAAGGTGAAAAGGTGGGAAATGCTGCATTGTCATTGCTGGTGACTGATCAGAGAAATGTATTCTTGTTGTTCTTCGTTAGATACCAGAATAGAACAATATGATAAACGATTTTGAATGTAGATGAAAAAGTAATTTTAGTATAATTATTCATTTATATATGAATCAAGTGAGCTCTGTATGTTCGCTTGTGAGTCTAACCAAACATTAATTGAATTCCAACAAAGATATTTTAAACTGAGACTTTGGACTATAATCCTGTTTAATATTTTAACGTACTTATGTCTTATTCCCATAATTATATCATAACTCCTTGACAGCGTAGGCTTCTTTATGCCTCTACTTCTTTATGCTTCCCCACATCATTTAGCTTAAGGATTATGACTAGCTGGCTGGTGGATTATTACAGAAGTGGCAGCTAGTAGACCATGGAATGCCTTTGGAATTCTTTTATTTTCTTTGATTTACCCCCAAAGGAGTACTAGTTGTCCAAGAAAAAGACTCACAAATGCCAAAAGAAATGGGGTTTTGAATAATACACTGATTTGCCTTCTCTTAATGATGGCTGATTTCTCAATTATCTTACAACTCATCCACTCAGCTGTATTCTAGGTCACCAATAGAAATAAAATACACAAATATCAAAATTCCAAACATGGAATATATGAACACATGACCATTTGGCTATGTGCATGCATGTGTGCCATAGATTCTAACTTTGTTGGATATCTAATATTATCCTGGAAGTATCTGTTTGTATGTTCTCTTGCTCTTGATGGCCTCTTTCTATTTAATTTTTTGAAAAAATGTATATAGGGGATGTCAAAATAGAAAAAATAATTCTTAGATTACAAAAAATATGGGGAAATTAACATTATTCAATTTAGGAATAGGTACAGCTCACAGAACGCCACAGTTCAGGGAGCAAAAATTGATATGTGTTGAAATTGAAAATGATTCTTTTATAAAGGAAGCTGACCAAAATTTCCAGCAGGATCATTGCCTGAAGGAAAATTTTCTAGGCTCCAGCCTCTGTTATGCTTAACAATGAACCATACAAGTCTGGACAGATGGTTGGATTCCAAAGTGTTTCTCATGTTACAGTATTTTCTTCCTATTGTCTCTCCTGAATTCTGCAGGGAAATGAGAAAATGCTATAACTTTCAAAAAGTATAAAGAATATTTTCAATATATTTTGGGAAGTCCCAAGTACTAAACATTAATTATCCTGGAAATCTTCTTTTCTTAGAAATGCTTTCTTGGTTAGAATCCAATTGTTTATTCTGGACAGTATGACTTATCTTTCTATCTTTATTGCTAGAAATATAAAATATAAGATGCATTTATGCCTTTTCCTAGATCCCTTCTATGTTCCCTGTCTCAAAGTATGGTAACTGTCCATTCAACTTTAAGCTATGGTGAGCCACAATCTTGGGACTCATTTTTAAGACCATATCTATCCAACAGCAACACTGCATTTATTCCCTAAACAGCCCTCAAATTTGTCCAAATTTCTGTCTCTATGACTCTGGCCCAAAGTTCTGATATTTCTCATCTAGGTTATTACAATAAATGCCTAACTAATCTACCTGCAATCACCTTTTTCCTCTCTGCCCCCAAAACACCCTATAGCCAAAACAGAATGAACTTTTCCAAATGCAAATCTGGTCATGTTCCTCCTGCTACCAGTAGTTTCCTATGACTCTTGGGTTAAACACAAGATTCCTTACCTGGCACACGGGGCCCTGAACAGCCCCTACCTACTTCTCCAAACTCACCTCATCAACTTTCTCCTTTTATCTCTAGTTAAACTAATTTGGCCTTCTTTCATTTCCTCTATATTTCTATCTGCATTACGGCTGTTCCCTACCATTTTAATTTCATTAAGCCCTGTTCTTCTTACAGAGTTTAATTCAAGCATCATATCCTCAAAGAATACCCCATTAACCTGCTCTAGTTTCACCCAAATTATTAGGACAAGTCCTGTTGTTTGCCCTCACAGAACCACATTTCTTATCTCTCTTTCACAGCACTTAGACAAAAGGAAGAGATTTATGATCCTGTAGACATTAGGGTTTCAAGTGAGGGAACAAAAGCAGAGTTATATTTATTTAGTAATCAACCTCTAAGATTCAAGCCAACATTTCTAAACCACAGAGAACAGTATACATAGGAATATTATACCTAAGTGTTCTCAAAAGAGCCAAGAATTATGCAATAAATAAGTATCAGATATTCTTAGGCAAAATAGACAATCTGCTGAGTATGTAATTTAAGACCTGGAAAGATATTAGCAATTGTTCCCACTTAACCCCCTTAAAACAGAGATAAGAAAAATGAGTCTCCACAGTGAACCTCAGAGGTCTCACAAATAGTTGACGATAGAGAATGAAGTGGAATTAGTCACAAATATCTGTTGAACACTATTATGTGTAACAGTTTTCCTATATCCAAGTCCTCTATTCATTACTACATGCTCTTTCTGTTTAAACATTTACAGAAACAGAGCAATTAAAGTTTATTTTAATTTGTCAGTATAACAAAAGACTACCTCCTACCTTAAGAGGATGATATGGCACCAACAAAACATTATTCTAAGCCTTTAGACAAAGGAATGGTGTGCTATTAACATTACATCACAGTACAGGATTATTTCTTTGTGCATGAGTTCTTCATATTTTCTTATTATACTCCTCTTTCTATATGAGGTCCTAAAAAGGATCCTAAAAAGAGAACCCCCTTCTTCCTTTCATTTGAAGAAAAAGAGTGTGTCCTACTCACTTTCAGTTAATTTCAAGCAAGGTTTGTTAAGTTTCTCCATTACCAACTGCATTTCTCAATCTCCATGCTAACCCTCCATTAGAGCACAGCTCCCTTTTTCAGGAATGGTGGGCCATTCCATTGCTACATGGCTTCTTGCTCGTGCTACTCCACTAATTAGCTCTCTGACCAGCCCTTACTTCTTGGTTCCTTTCGTAGAAAGGCAAGCTAATGGCCAGCTCTTACCACACAACATTCACTTAAAAACACTTGGGCTAAAAGGGACATTGGAAACCATTTAGCACCACAACCCAATCCATGCAGGAATACTTTTCTGAAACATCTTAAACAGAAGAGAGATTTAATTTATACTTATGCTTTAAATGCATCCAGTAACTAATTCATCACAATCTCACTTCTGTGATTTCTCTTTCAAGAAACAGGAATTTTGTATCCAAGTACTGTACTTGTGTTCTTCACCAACAATACACCATTATTTTAAGGAAACAAGCCTGTAACATCCTGAAACTTTGCTTTGGCAGTTTTCTGTCTAAAGAACGTGTGTGTGTTTTCAAACCCAAAGTATACCAGCCAGGTTAGAATGAAGAAGTGAAAAGTTTATATTACACATTTAGTTCATCTTTCATTTTCTGTTCCTGTTAAGGAAAAAAAAGAAAGAAAGAAAAATATTTTCTTGCTATTTAAAATTCAAGACTAGCTTCTTAAAATGAGACTTTTTATCCCAACACCTATGCAATAATTCATGACTTTAATATTTTTAATGATTACTTCCCTGCATGTATAAGCCAGGAGATGAAGGAACATGAGCCATCCATACATTTGTTACTTCCTTCCCTTTCAGACTCTCTTGCTTTAGTAATAAAATTCTATGTGCCCTAGGGGTGCCTGGGTGTCTCAGTCGGTTAAGCGTCCCACTTGGGCTCAGGTCATGATCTCGGGGTTTGTGAGTTCAAGCCCCGTGTTGGGCTCTGTGCTCACAGCTGGGAGCCTGGAGCCTACTTCAGATTCTGTGTCTCCCTCTTTCTCTGCTCCTCCCCTGCTCACACTCTGTCTCTCTCTCAAAAATAAATAAAGATTAAAAAAAATTTTTTTTAATTCTATGTGCTCTATAAGAATGTCTAAGCCCTATAGCAGCTCCACTCTATTCTGGCAAACTCAGGAAGAGTTTCTTTGTTTCATTTGTTCATTGTAAACAAAGGAAGTTTGTTTTGTTTACAGTGTACATTCCTTAATAAAGGGAAGATTTATAGATAATAAGATAGTATTCTTATTTATTTATTTGTTTATGATCTGTAAGATAATAAAGACGTGTTAAATTCAGTAATTTTATGGTATTTATTTGCCAGGTACTTTTTGTACTGTTAGTAATTTATTTTGTTCGTGAAATTACCTTGACTGCAATAGATCATTATAGTATATTCATATTTACATATGCAATCTGTCATCCAAAAATTCATCCATACACTAGATCTAGGAAATTGGGCTTTCTGGGATATCATTTCTCTATTTTATTTGGCAATACGCCTAGCGGTGAAGAGCTTTAAATTTGGCATCTGTCATTGCCTACCTTGGTCCAAATTATATGATGCTAAATACCATGAAGAATACTTCACAGGGGAAATCAGTAGTGGGTTATGAGAATGGTAAACTTCATATCACCATGTGCTTGTATCTGAATATTAGAACTGTTAGCCAGATGCTTCCTGTAGACTTCCAGAGAGACAGAAAGTGCGGTGCCACTGGGATCCAGAGGCACTGATGGGAAGTATGCAGAAGATACATAAATCACAGAGTATATTCATTTCATTTGGCTTCATGGGATTCCACTGACATCACTGCGGGTAACCAAGGTCTGCACCAGGACCCTCTCCCTTCTGCTCTCTGACGCCTTCGAGGTGCTGCCCATCTAGACCAGGCCCTGCAGTAATTTCACACACTCCCCTAATAAAGTCCTCCGGGGCTGTCATGTATTTTCATGTGTTTGCCCTATTATCCCTCCCTGCTTGAGTCTTACAGATAATTGATGATGCTTCAGTTAATCATCTTTCTCTCGCTTTTGTTCACCAGGTACCTTCGCCTTGAAGGGGCTCTTTTATTGAGAATCGATGTCTTCTTCTGGGTAATTGATCACCATAGACCCAGGGACACTTGACTCATCGTTGAGGAAGAGTAATCATCATGAATAATCAAAAAGCCGTAGCTACACTACTGCAAGAGTGCAAGCAAGTGCTGGACCGGCTCTTGTTGGAGGCGTCAGATGTGTCGGAGGAGGACAAGAGCAAGGACCAGCAGTGCAGAGGTGAGGTCCTGAGGAGAGGCGCTGGGGGGAGGGAGAAGCCAGCAGGTTTGCTCTCAACTCCCCTGCCTGAACGACATGTTTTCATCTCTGCCCTATTTTTCTTCTCTTGGCAGATGACCACCGAGAGATGAGTGGATTTCTAGGGCATGAATGGGACATGGGCTACAGGCGGACGGGCAGGGGAGGAAGCCCACTTTGTTGCAGTGAATTGCTGTCAGTTCTAATTTTAGGCTTCAGTAAACATGAGGCTACAAGAAAACAGTTTAGTTCAAGAAGAACAAAGGGTGCAAGTAGGCTGGTGCTCGTAAATTTCAATTATTAAAAAATTGAAGCAACTTCTGAATGGTGGCATATACTTTTTTCAAACTAAGCTTTTGTGCCTCATCAGTTTCCATAGGCTTCTACGGTTTCCATAAATATGTCATCTCATTGGTCCAATCTTTCTTTTTTTTTATTATCAATACATTTCTCATGCTGCATTCACATGCCATTTGTAAAATAAATCCTTTCATACCGATGAATACTGATTGCATCATTATCGGGGTTTAAGAATTTGGCCTTTTGCTCATTTCATAGTTTATGCCATTCATAGTTTTAGATGAGTCGTTGTTTGAGAAGTTTTGATCACAAAGTCTAGAAAGTTAAAACATTTATTTCTTCCATAGCCAGTTTTGGAGAGGGAATTTTCTTTCCTTTCAGCATTTGAATAAATTTTCCTGCGTTTCTATAAGTGTATCCCTTTTATGTGCTTTTAATTTTTGTTTTTTTTGTATTTTTAGTGACTGGCTATTCCTTGCAGAGATAAGATTACATAAAATGCACACTCCCCATCTCTTTTGTTGTGGATGATTATGTAATGGGAAAGGTTCTGGAGGAGTCTCTCCCACATTCTTGTATACTGGCACACACACACAGAGGCACTTCAGGTACCTAGAGGTGTCTTAAATTTTTGTAATCCGTTATTTTTGCCCCTTTCAAGGTAAAATGCCCCATGTCCCATTGTTTCACAACACCTTAGTTTATGTGTTTTCCTTCTTTATTAGCCAGATACACCACTGCGTGATTTTGCTTGCTAGTTATACGTGCCCATCAGCCTGGGCACACCCTGGCAGGTGTTAGCCCCTTGTCAGGGAACGGCGGGTACTTGGCGCCTCCAGAACACACTGCAGGGCTGGTTCTAGTTCCCTCAGGGCCAGCGTATTGTGTTCTCTCTACTGAAGTTTTTCTCTTGTCCTTTTACTACATGGCATCCTTTGTCTCTTTAGCCCAAATTCCTTCAAGCTTTGTGTTCTCCCTAGTGAAAACTCAGAGCCCCAACTTGGGTAGCATTTTCTTCTTTTTTCTTCCCAAGTGCCACAGAAGAGGAGAAATAATCAGTTTAGTTCCAGATAAGGCAAATCAGGGCTACAAAATCATTCGATTAGCAACGGCCCTTCAGGTACGCTGCTTGGGGAAGTAAGTGATCAGAGAGGCAGAAGAGGATACTGCTCCGTCAGGGGCTGACTGCTGGGGTTGGCTGAATCTGATAAGCCAGTGCGGGAGGAAATTTGTGCTGAGCCATTGATAATCTCAGCATTAACCCATCCGCATGGAGGCAGGCTTCGTGATCCACCCCAAGCACCATCAGTACAACTGAATGCAGTGTGAGTGCAGAGTCCCTCCCTTAGCAGGTGGTTTCTGAGCCATACTAGTGACTTAAGTGGTCACTCACATGTGCTCCAAGAGAAAGGTATTAGTACAGGGCAACTTATGGTGACAGGGCAAGCCAGAGAACTCTAAACATGATTACTGTGGTTTTTGTTCTTTCCCTCCTCTTCACAACCCTGTTCTCTTCCCTCAGAAATTGTCCTTGTCAACATGGGTGACTACTTCTAGCAACTTCCTCAGAAATAGAGAAGGAACTGAAATCTAAACATATATATATATATATATATATATA